ATAGAGCAGAGCCTAAACCAATTAGTTAAAGGACACTTTTAAGAATTTAGATGCCAGGCACAGTGGCTCACATTTGTAATCCCAGCACTTTAGGTGGCCAAGGTGGGAGGATCACTTGAGGCCAGGAGTTTGAGACCAGCCTGGGCAACACAGCAAGACCCCACCTCTACGAAAAAATTAAAAAAAAAAAAAAATTAGTCTGGTGTGGTGGCACATGTCTGTTGTCCCAGCTACGGAGGAGGCTGAGGTGGGAGGATAGCTTGAACTTGGGAAGTTAAGGCTGCACTGAGCTATGATGGCACCACTCCACTTCAGCCTCGGTAACAGGGAGACCTTGTCTTAAAAAAAAAAAAGAATTTAGAGAACAGGGTGTTTTTAATGCTCTTGCCATATGTATAAGTGACAGAATCAGTGCATACAGAAGTAGACAAGCTTTAGGATTTGAAGTTCTATTTTGCCTGTTTGAAAAATAACAATAAAATAATTTTTAAAATGATCAAATATGAAAGTACTTTCACTGTGACCTGTACCAAGTTAGGGCAACATGTTAAGATAGTTTTATATGGGTTATGTATGCTACATGCTGCTCTTTAGTCAAAAGAAGAAACTTTATCTAATTAGAGAATTCAATTCATTTCTTCACAGGAATAATTTTTCAAAGTAATTTTGAAGCCAATTTGCTACATACATAAGAAATTACTCACATGAAAATGATACATCATGAAATTGAAAAAGAAAATTGTATTATTTGCCAGTAAGAAGCATAGGGACTAAACTGTAAATGATAGTATAATAAAGATTAACCTAACAAAACAAGTCTAGAAGAAAGCCATAAATATTTTTCAAATAAAATACCTGATTTAGAAACCAGATAAATATACTAAAATAAGTAGCGTTTGAAATGACAGTAATAGATTCTGACATGTAAGAAATTATGTGTGAGGAAAACATGGATTTTTTTATGGAGCTAAGTAAGTACAGTCACGTGTCCTGAATGATGGGGATACCTTCTGAGAAATGTGTGATTTTGTCATTGTGCAAACACCATAGAGTGTACTCTATAAACCTAAATGATATAGTCTACTACACACCTAGGCTATATGGTGGTAGTCCATGGCTCCTAGACTACAAACCTGTACAGCATGTTACTGTACTATATACTGTAGGAAATTGTAACACAATGGTATCTCCATCTTATCACATCTAAACATAGAAAAGGTACAGTAAAAATATGGGATTATGATCTTATGTGACCACTGTGGTACCTGTACTCCATCACTGACCAAAACATCATTATGCAGCACATGACTGTACGTTAGTTTTTAGGATTATATGTGTACACACTATTTACAAATTTTATAGTCATTTAAAAGCCATCTGTAGAGCTTATGCTATTACTTTATTATTATTATTATTATTGTTTCAATAGTTTTGGGGGAACAGGTGATGTTTGGTTACATGGATAAGTTATTTAGTGGTTATTTCTGAGATTTCGGTGTACACATCACCCGAGCAGTGTACACTGCATCCAATGTGTAGTCTTTTATCCTTCAACCCCTCATCCTTCCCTCCAAGTCCCCAAAGTTCATTATATTATTCACATGCTTTTGCATCCTCATAGCTTAGCTCCCACTTATAAGCAAGAGCATATGATGTTTGGTTTTCCATTCCTGAGTTAACTTCACTTAGAATAATGGTCTCTGACTCCATCTAGGTTGCTGCAAATGCCATTATTTCATTCCTTCTATGGCTGAGTAGTATTTTATTTATATATATATATATATATATATAAATATATATTTAATAAATACATATATACACACATTCATATAATGATACATATATATGCCACATTTTCTTTACCCACTCATTGATGGATGGGCATTTGGGCTCATCCCATATTTTTGCAATACCACCTTACTCCTGCAAAATGGCCATAATTTAAAAAATAAAAAAAGAATAGATGTTGGCACAGATGTCATGAGAAGGGAACACATTTACATGGCTCGTGGGAACGTAAACTTGTACAACCACTATGGAGATTCCTTAAAGAGCTAAAAGTGGAACTACCCTTTGATCCAGCAGTCCCACTACTAGTTATCTACCCAGAGGAAAAGAAATCACTACATGAAAAAGACACTTGCATATGAATGTTTATTGCAGCACAATTTGCAATTGCAAAAATAGGGAACCAGCCTTAAATAATGCCATTATTTTATTCCTCTTTAATGGCTGAGTAGTATCCTATGGTATATATATATCATATATATATACACATCATATATATCATATATGTGTATGATCTATATATATACACACACCGCATTTTCTTTATCCACTTGTTGGTTGAGAGCATCTAATGTTCATCAGAGATATTGGTCTGTAGCTTTCTTTTTTTGTTATGTCCTTTCCTGGTTTTGGTATTAGGGTGATCCTGGCTTCACAGAATGATTTAGGGAGGATTCCCTCTTTCTCTATCTTTTGAAATCGTGTCAATAGGATAGGTACCAACTCTTCTTTGAGTGTCTGACAGAATTCAGCTATGAATTCATCTTTTTGAGGGGGGAATATTTTAATTACCACTTCAATCTCACTGCTTGTTATTGATCTGTTCAGAGTTTCTATTTCTTCCTGGTTTAATCTAGAAGGGTTGTATATTTCCAGGAATTTATCCATCTCCTCTAGGTTTCATAGTTTTTGCACATAAAGGTGTCCGTAGTGGCCTTGAATGATCTTTTGTACTTCTGTGTTATCAGTTGTAATATCTCTCATTTCATTCCAAATTGAGCATATTTGGATCTTCTCTCTTGGTGAATCTTGCTAGTGGTCTATCGATTTTGTTAAACTTTTCAAATAACCAGCTTTTTGTTTCATTTATTTTTTGTATTTTTTGTTTCAATTTCATTTAGTTCTGCCCTGATCTTGGTGATTTCTTTTCTTCTGCTGGGTTTGGGTTTGGTTTGTTTTTGTTTCTCTGGTTCCTTGAGGTGTGACCTTAGATTGTCTATTTGTGCTCTTTCAGACTTTTTGATGTAGGTATATTATGCTATGAACTTTCTTATTAGCACTGCTTTCGCTGTATCGCAGGGGTTTTGATAGGTTGTGTCACTATTATCATTAGGTCGAAATAATTTTTAAATTTCTGTTTTTATTTCATTGTTGACCCAACAATCATTCAGGAGCAGGTTATTTAATTTCCATGTATTTGCATGGTTCTGAGGATTCCTTTTGGAGTTGATTTTCAATTTTGTTCCATTGTGGTCTGAGACAGTACTTGATATAGTGTTGATTTATTGAGACTTGTTTTGTTGCTTATCATATGGTTTACCTTGGAGAAGGTTCCATGTGCTGATGAACAGAATGTATATTCTGCAGTTGTTGGGTAGAATATTCTGTAAATATTTGTTAAGTTCGTTTGTTCTAGGGTATACCTTAAGACCATTGTTTCTTTGTTAACTTTCTATCTTGATGACCTGTTTAGTGCTATTGGTGGAGTATTGAAGTCCCCCACTATCATCATGTTGCCATTTATCTCATTTCTTAGGTCTAGTAATAATTGTTTTTATAAATTTGGGAGCTCCAGTATTAGGTGCACATAGATTTAGGATTGTGATATTTTCCTGTTGGACTAGTCCTTTTATTATTATATAATGTCCCTCTTTGTCTTTTTTAACAGTTATTGCTTTAAAGTCTGTTTTGTCTGATATAAGAATAGCTACTCCTGTGTCCATTTGTATGGAATATCTATTCCCACCACTTTACCTTAAGTTTATGTGAGTCCTTATGTGTTGGGTGAGTCTCCTGAAGAGAGACCAGTGGGGTAAAAGAAAAACCATCAGGTGGGGGCAGGGTTAGGCATGTCTGAGCTCAGACTTTCCTTGGGTGGGGTTTGCTTTGACCACTGTGGGGGACAGGTTTGCCGGGGGTGGTTCTCAGACCAATGGAATTATGTTCCCAGCGAAATTATGGCTACTTCTTCTGTATCATACAGATATCCAGGAAAGTGGGGGAAAGCCAGGAGTGACAGGGCTCACCCAGATCCCACACAGTCAGCAAGGCCAGTCTCACTCCCGCTGTGCCCCCACAACAGCACTGAGTTTATATTCAGGCAGCCAGTGAGCTAGGCTGAGATCTTGCCCCAGGCTATAAGCCTCCCCGCTGAGAAAGCAAGTAGGGCTCTCAGGCCTGGCTGGGCCCTCCCCATCTGCCCACATCTTTGGCTGTGGCTTCTGTGCTAGTGTCGACACTTTCTGTTCAACCGCCTAACCAACTCCCACCCTGGCCCCTTCCGATTCTGCTCAAGAAAATTCATGCTCAGTCAAAGTTACTACAAAGTTCGGTTAGGAGTTTCCTTCACTCTGTGGTCCCTCCCCTATTTTATTACTTTTAATAACACTATAGAAAGCACTCTTACTGGGCTGATGTTTCCCCAAAAGGGAGAGACTTGCTTTAAAGTCTGTTTTGTCTGATATAAGAATAGCTACTCCTGTGTCCATTTGCATGGAATATCTATTCCCACCCGTTTACAGACCACAGTGGAACAAAATCGAATCCATTAACTTCATATTGTGTTTCCTTCTTCATAGTTTTGAGATTCGGAAGAACAAGTATACTTGAGCCAAATATTAGCAAGAACCAATTAATGAACTATTTTACATAAGTGAGTTCAACTGAAGCACTCAAAAGCATCATTATTCCATAGCTGATTTAAGTGTTTCCCTCCCTCTCTCCAACCAAAACACACACCGACACATATATCCTACTTTTACGAAAGACAAAAACCAAAATAAACACAGTTCTTTTTAATTAAAATTATGTTTAAAAATAATTCAGTTCATACCATTACATAGTAAAATGGAAATGAGGAAATTCTATTGTTTTGAAAATTTTTCTTCTCTACTATCAGAAATGCTTCTTAAATTACAAATAAACAGGTATTAATATATGTTTTAAGAAAGAGAATTGCTTTAAATTTAACTTTAACCACACTATTAACTTACCAGGTAAAACTCGCTCAAAATACAATGTTAATATCAAATAGAAAAGAGCATCAAATGCCAAAATGAAGAAAGTGGCTATCATTATATACGAATCCCCAGAGGGATCAGGAAAAATAACACCACTTAAGTAATTATCCAGGTGTGTAATCTGAGATTTAAAAGAAAAAATAAAATGTTAGATGAACTTATAAAACTATATAAAACAATGTATTTTTTTTAAAAAAGGTGGTACCTAGACATATGTAATTAATATTTTAATACCTTTTCAAATATGCACAGTAAAGGTGCTACTAGTATTGCTGCTTTTTAAAAATAGAAGTATTCTCACAAAACTGTAAAATGCTATATATGAAAGTAAAACAAAAAAGAGAAATGTAACTGTATCATTAATCATGGGTATTTTGACAAAGAAAATAGGGAGAAGTGGACAAGCAACCAAATATAACATACTTTGGAAGGAAAACTTGAAGTGGGCAACATAATTGGAGCCCATTTAAAGAAACATAAAAATTCTAAGTATAAGATATTGCAGAAACATTCAATTATTAAATAAATATTGAAGACTTGAAGAAAAAACTAGAAAGATAATGATAATAGTTAACACTTAGATAGTATGTATCTGACACTGTACTAGTGCTATATGTATATAATAGCACAATTAATCTTAAAAATTTACCCCCATGAGGTGGGTTCTACTGACATCCTCATTCTGCAGAAGACAGGCTAAAGGGATTAAGTGACTTGCCCAATGTCACCAGCTGGTAGGCAACAGAGATGAGACCCTCATCCATGCCATCTGGCTTCACTCGTTATTCGTAACCTCACATTTTACTGCCTCTTTAAATGGTGATGTAAACCAGAAATTTCTCAGTGGTCAGATAATGGGCAATTATTTTTCTTCTTTAAATTTGCTAGGATTTTACAAATGATCTGCCTGCTTTGTTTATCCATTTGATAAAATTTTGTTGTTGTTCTTATTTAGTTTCTCAACAGCAGAATTTCTTAAAACACAGAGTGGCTGAGTATTAAATTTCATGAGGCACCAAATTCTTGAATAAGAACATATTTTGAAAATCTAATAATAAAATCTTGAAATAATTATGTTCTTACCTGGGCCATTCCAGCAATGAAGGCAAAAGGGCTAAGAAGACTTAATACCCATCCCAAAGACAAAGGAAGTTGTCCATATAACACAGTGAATCCCAGACATCCCCAAAATACAGTGAAGAGAAATCCAGCCAAACCAGCGAGCATAGGTTTCCTTATTAACACACTCATGAGGAAAGCCAATGCTATCTGAGGGAAGAAAGAGTTCCAATTGGTATACTTTTCCTTGAAGAGTTATGAATTCATCAATTTCTCACATTGTCAAAAATTTTCTCAAAACATATAGAAAATAGGATAGAAAATATAGTGACTACACTAATATCCCAAAGAAACATTATTTGCTCATATATTTGTAATCTGAAACAAGTTAAGAGGTAATATGTTTTACCAACTCACCAAAGAAAGGCCGTATAAGCTAAAGAGTGTGAATATCACCATGAAGCCAGTATGAAATATAATTGGGATTGATGTTATGATCAGAGCCATAAAAATGGACATAACAAAGATGAAGCAAATATAGGTCAATCCCCAGGAGAGCCTATGGTAGAAACAAGGTGTTAGTTCAACATGTCACACACATAAAAGTTTGGAGAGGTAATATGCAAAATGGTTAAGAGTACAAGCTCTAAAATCAGGGCAAAATTTATTCTAAATGGGTAGCCATGCACATTTTCTGACTATTGGCAAGTTACTTATCTTCTCTCACTCTCATCTGTAAAATGGAGTTTTTCATGGTATTCATATGGTTGTTCTGAGAAATAAATGAGATAATGCTTTTGAAGATGTTAGTTTAGCATGTGGCATAGAAAGTAGCCATTATTATAATTATCTTTATAGCTGTAGAACAAATTTTATATTTAATATAATTAAATATACTTTTATTCTTTCAGTTAAATGACTACATAAAATGTCAGTGGAAAAACAGTGACAATCTCCCCTTTAAAAATACTAAAGCTTTCTAAGGTATACAATTCTTCTGAATGTTTAACAGAAATCTTTCCAATGTAAGTAAAGCTCATTTCATTTTTTATCCTTGTATGTCTGTGGACATTAGACAATGTATTATTTTTAAGAATCAGAATACCATAGTGCTACTACAAAATGTGAAACTAAAATAAAGTGAAAGGTATCATGATGCCGGGCACGGTAGCTCACGCCTATAATCCCAGCACTTTGGGAGGCTGAGGCAGGTGGATCGCCTGAGTCAGGAGTTTGAGATCAGCCTGGCCAACATAGTAAAACCCCATCTCTACTAAAAATACAAAAAATTAGCTGGGTGTGGTGGTGGGCGCCTGTAATACCAACTACTATGGAGGCTGAAGCAGGAAGATCGCCACCCTGGAGGCGGAGGTTGCAGTGAGAAGAGATCATGCCATTGCACTCCAACCTGGGCAACAAGAGTGAAACTCCGTCTCAAAAACAAAAAACAAGGTATCATGATGATTATAGTTGTACAACTGTGATTGAATGTCAAAGTAGCCAAAACATTGTTGCTTTTGAAAATCTCTCAAGTAGATGGAAAGGTACATTTTAAACAACCACCATATGATCCAGCAAATATACCACTGAGTATTTTTCCCAGAAAAATTAAAACTTATGTTCATACAAAAACCTGTACATGAATGTTCATAACAGCTTTGTTCATAAGCGCCAAAAACTAGAAACAACCTGTATCTCCTCCAAAGGCTGAAGAATTAAACAAACTGAAATACATCCATACCATGGATTTTATTACTCAATAATAAAACAAACAAACAAACAAAACAAACAAACAAACAAACAAAACCAAGCTATTGATAAATGAGAATTTGGCATACTTGAGCCTTATTTGGGCAAAGTAGTATCATCTACTGAGCTAAGTAGTAAATTTGTGCCTGATCAGATAGAAAGTAGAAGAAGGGATAATATACAAGAAGTGTGAGGGCTTTACAAGAAATATAGCAGTTTTACCTCAATACCTGGGATACTTGCATTTGGCAACGGGTTCTTATGAAAATTTAAAGAACAAAATTTGCAAAGCTATATTTTTTTAAGAAAATTATATCATTTTATTATTTAAAAATCTATTTTCCTTGTCTTTGAAAAGAGGACAAAGAGCTTGTCCAAGACACCCTCTCCAATAACAGATGCAACATATCAACTAATAAAAAAATTATATCCAACACAAAATCTGGTATCTTGTACCCTTGTACAGTTTGATATCAGGGAAGAATCATTCAGAAATTTAGATCCAATGTTTGAGGTGATGGATATCCCAATTATTCTGATTTGATCATTATACACTGTATATATGTATCAAGATGCCACACATACCCCACAGTATATACAATTATGATGTATCAATTAAAAATAGCAAAAAAATGACAAAAAAATCTGAATCCAAACTTAATACTTATCTACTGTAAAGCTAATAATATGGTAGGGATTTCTGTAGTCCAGTTTCATAAAAGGCTTTTTCTATCTCCTTTTCCCCCTTGTCATTAAATTCATTTTATTAATATTTTTGAGTTTTCTAGCACAGTCTCTGAAAGAGTGCTGTTTTCTTAGGCTTGATTCCTGGCTTTATTGCTTATAAGTTACAGGTTTTAGGGAAAAATCTTAACTTTTCTCTACTTTAGTTCTCTTACCTGTAAAATGTGGATAACAGTTCTATCATCCCTAGAACATGGTAAAGTACTTAAACAATATTATTATTTCTATAATTTTTAGACTATAATACCTCATTATTATTAAATATTTACTTTATTACTATAATTATATACTATCTCAAAGTCTAGGGGAAAAAGGACAGTACTTAAAGGGATGGATGAATGCATAGATACATACATAAATGCATAGGCTAGATAGATAGATGGAGAGAGATGCCTTTTACCAGGCACTAACAAGCACCGAACATTCTACTGTGTGATTTAAACATATTGCTTCATTTAATCCTAAGACTGTTTGATCAATTCCACCCAAATAACATTTTTACAGACTGTGACCTGGCCCCAGTGACACTGTGGTAAATTCATTTATTGTCCAAAATTTTTTGAACCTTTTTCTGCTCCTCACTGTTATGAAAAGCAGCATAATTTCCCATGTCACTAAATGTGAGACTGTCACTTTGACTTGCTTTGATCTCATGGTGGGCAGAACATACTTCTTTCCCTCTTGACTTTAGTTTTGTCCATGTGACTTACTTTAATGAGATTTTATTATATATGATGTGAGCAGGAGCTTGCACAGAGAGACTTGCCCCCTTGTGTTTCTGTGGTTGAATGAGAAGACCATGACCAGCTAGCCTACTGGCCCAAGAAGGAAGTGAGTCACAGGAATAACACGTGGATCTAATCTGTACCTTGAATCCAAGTCTGGCCAAGCCCAGACTAGATCTGCCATACTGCAGACAAATAAGAAAGAATAAATAATTGTTGCTTGAGGTTGCGGGGTTTGGGGTGGTTTTTATGCAGCATTTTTCTGGCAATATGTAATGATCATACATTTTTCTTCAACTCAGGGAAACATAAACACAATCCTTACTTATTTTCTACTGCAAGCATCTTAAACTCTAATGCAAGTAAGGTGATTAAATTGAATACATGCAAGAAAACTTGTGAGTACATCCAATTTTTTAAGAACCTAGTTTCTTTAATGATTAATGTATGATATACAATAAAGTAGCAACTTAACTTACCAGAATGCTGACTCTCGGAGACCCATTACTGTCATCAGTTTCTTAAATTCTCCCCTTTCCCTTGCAACATTTAATGATGCAAAATATATAAAAGAAGAGAAAGAAACTAAGCAAGTAAAAATAAACCATTCATTCATAATTTCTCCCTTAGAAATGAAAGGTAGCATCTTCATATTTATTCCAATAACTGATGTCAACTCCTCCATTACAGAATGATTTGTTGTGACCTAAATTGGGACATTAACACATTTATTATGTTAACTATAGACAAAATGTATTAGAAAACCACACACTTTATATTTTCAATTTCAGTATTTACATATTCTCATCATTTTAAAGTATGGTGAATTATTAATATCAGAACAATCTTAATAACTTCTGGTACCAATTAACATGAATTATAAGAATCATTTGAGAAATTACTGAAGATCTATCATGCATAATATACTGTGCTAGGTGATGGGGAAACAGCAGCAATTCAGACAGAAACACTCTTCATTCTCATAGAGCTTTACATTTTGTAGCACAGCAGCAGAAGAAAGGAGAGGTATTAAATAAATCGTTGTATAATAAATTGTTTAGTTACAATTGAGCAACCATGTCAAACGAAAAGTAAAGGAAAATCAAGAAAGGCTTCCCTAAAAAAGTGACATTTTTACTGAGTGTTGAAGGCTGTGATCTTTCCTAAACAAAGACTGTGTGGAGAGGGTTGAGGATGGAGAAGAAAACTCTGAGTAGAGTAAACAGTATATGAAAAGGAAAGAAGGTGTATAGTGCATTGGAGCACATAAAAGAGGCTCCTGCCACAAAATAAATAAATAAATAAATAGACTGTAGATAAGGCTAAAGAAATAAACCACTCCCATAGTTTAGGCAAGATATGATAATGATGTGGCCTTGTTCAGGTGGCAGAACTGAAGTACATAGATTTGAGCTTAGAAATAAGAGGCCAGGTAAAAGATTGGATATGATGAGTGAGATACAGAAAATTTTCTCTGATAATTCTCCAGTCCCTTTTGATCAACTAGGTGGTTTTAGCATTCACTGAGATAGGGAAAATTTTATAAGACTCAGTCATATTCACAGAAAAACATTCACATTCAGTTTTGAGCATACTAAGTTTGAATTGCTTGAGACATCAAAGTAGAGGTATCCAGCAGACAGTCAGATATATGGAGCTAGAGCAGAGGTCCAGCTCTTTTAGTCCCTAGCTCCTTTAGAAGTCAGCAAACTTCAGTTCCCAGACCAAATCTGACCCACCACATGTCTTGTATATCACATTTTATTGAACACAGGCACACTCATTTGTTTGTGTTATCTATAGCAGCTTTCATACTAACAGCAGAGGTGAATAGTTACAACACATTTGGCTCCCAGAGCCTAAAATATTTACTGTGCGGTCCTTTATAGAAAAATGTTGCTAGTCTACAAGTTAGAGTTCTTGGAGTTATCAGCATATAAATTATAATTAGAAGCATGGGGATGAATGAGACCATCCAGAGAAAACATATAGGATAGAAAGAGATGCCTGGGATAGAACTTTGTGGAACTACAGATAGAAAGATATAGGAGTGTAAGGGGAGATAAGTTGGTAAGAAGACTGAGAGGGAAAGGCTAGAAACAGAGAAGGGAAATTAGGTGAATCCTATGTTATTTAGTTGAGAAATCAAGTAAGATGAGGAATGAAAAAGTTGTTAATTGACATGGGAGTTGTTATTTACCTTAGAAAAAGCCTTTTTGATGGTATGGTAGGGATAGATAATATTGACTTGAGTTGAGTCAAAGGAGGACAACCCTTTCAAGAAACTTATCCCTTAATAGAAGGAAGTTAGGGTAGTCGTTTGAAGAGGAAAGTGGATAAAGGAAGGTCTCGACCATAAGTGAAGAACTTAATTTTAAATCCTGAAGAGAAGAATCTAGCAGAAAGGCAGAGATTGAAAAGAGGAGACAGAAACAAAAGTCCACAGTTGAACTTTGCTGATGAAGTTGGGAGGCATGGGATCCAGACTACGAACTGAGGAAAGACATTAGGGATGAAGACAGAGAAGGAAAAGAATGGGTGTAGAGGGTTGTAGGTCTGCAGTTTTATAGGGTTTATGTTAGTTAGGAGACATTCCCGTCTGACAGCTTTTATTTTCTCTGAGGATGAGAGGCAAAGTATTACCTCCTAAGAGTGTATGAGTAGGGTAGGGGATGAGGCAGATATTTAAAAAGAGGGAAAAATACAGATTTAAAATATAGCTTTGAAGTTAGGCACTTACTTCTATAATGGCAGCATTAATTGCAGCTTGAAAAGCTACAAACCCATTTAGCCAGTACTTTGCCAAGTAACAAAAAATGTCACCATGCATGGCCCAACAGTGTGCTTTAAGGAAGAAGAAAAACATGTCCATAGTTATATAATGGAGTCAATTGCTGGAATCAAAACTTTAACTTTGGCTCAAAAATAAAAATACCTAAATGTTAGCTCAAAGCCTATGATTATATGATATGGAGGATTTTTAAAGTACTCTACAAAATTGGAGAAAAAAGAATATATGATGCCAGGCGCAGTGGCTCACGCCTGTAATCCCACCACTTTGGGAGGCCAAGGCAGGTGGATCATCTGAGGTCAGGAGTTCGAGACCAGCCTGACCAATATGGTGAAACCCCATCTCTACTAAAAATACAAAAAAATTAGCTGAGTGTGGTGGTGTGTGCCTGTACTCCCAGCTACTTCACAGGCTTAGACAGGAGAATCACTTGAACTCGGGAGGCAGAGGTTCCAGTGAGCCAAGATCGCACCACTGCACTCCAGCCAGGGTGACAGAGGGAGACTCCGTCTCAAAAAAAAAAAAAAAAAAAAAAGGGACATATGAATAGTTGCCAAAATAATGAGACTCATCCTAAGTTAAAGACTGATGATTAAGTTCAGGGGGAAATGTATATTAATTATTTACACGGTTGTATTAATATTCCTAGCAGTCATTCCAAACAGGGGATTCCGTGAAGTACCAAAAAAAAATTATAATCAGTTTTCATACAGTTACCTGTGTATTCAGTGTATTCCTTTATAGGTGGGATTCTATATCCCCAATTAAACTTCAGCTGATATGAGAAAGTATCACGAAATATAACTCCCACTACTTCATGGTACTTTTTTGGAAGTACTATATCCATGGTCTCTTCGTCTGGTGTCCCAATGACTGTTCTTCCTACCATGTATGAAAAATATAAATAAATAATCATGTAAACTTATTACTGGAGGACACAAAAACAAAATACAATTGCTTACCTTATATAAAATTAGTGGTATTACATATTATTTCTGGATAGTTGCCTCTTAGTAAAAGGCTGAGTGAAACTCAATTGTTTTAATTTCAGTGTAAATACATGAAAAGACACAAAGGATATATTGTCTTTTAAAAATTTGTAGCATATTGTTTTTAGTATGATCTCATTTTGGTAAAGAAAAACTGAATTTGTGTGCCTATGTAAGCATAGAAACATATTCTATATATGACCATGTGCATATTTGTCTTAAAAGATACACACAATTTGAATGAGGGGTAGGGGAGGAGAGGAAGCAGTGGTGAAGACGAAAGGAAAAGCTCTCATATTTTTGCTTCATACAAGTTTGTACTATTCAACTTTTTTTAAAAGTAGATATTACTTTAGTAACTAAAATAATTTAGGAATTAAAAGGAAAAATATTTAAGGTAAGCAATACCAATACTGAGAATTTCGTGTTTTCTTTTTTTCTGCCAAGATTATAAACTGGTATCTATCACATGAAAATAGTATGCTAGAAGTAAATTGTATACAAAGAATCAGAGTACAAAAACCAAAAAGTATAGTCTACCTACAGATTCTCTGAGGTCAAGAACACTCTCTAAGAATTAAGTTTATAGTAATTAGTGCATAATGAATGAGTTTACCATCTGCAGGAGTAATCCACCCAATAAGTGTTTAATAGATCTATTACTAACAGAAGCTTTGAAAATCACTGAAGTCCAGTTAGTGCCTCCTTTTTTACATGTTTATGTATTATGTTCTCAAAATTTTATTAATTTTAAATTTCACTCAGGGTGAAGTCTACATTAAGATGAAGAAGCTGTTTATTTTATGCTGTAGCCATACCTTTCAAAACTCCTCATCCTTCCAAATATAGAGTCAGGTGGTAAAACTTTTATGAGGACAATGCTAACATCACTGATTTTTTCTAGAGGTATAAAAAATACTGTCAAGGCCAAACCATGAATACTTATGCTAAAAAGCAAGAGTTAGATAAATGTAGAGTAAGACAGTGAGAGAGGAGCTGTGGTTGGAACAGGCCAGCATGGTAGTTGGAATGAAGTACTTTATATAAGGAAGAGGCAGAGTCCAATGGTCCATAAGACTAAGACAGAAAGTGGCAATTAGCTTACACTGTGCATACAGGAAGAATAGTCCCTGAGGCTTCAGTAAATGCTTCATGAGTTCAGAACAAATGAGTTAAATGACAACACAAAGGAAGCGAGTAGAGACAGATCAGGGCAGAATCAACACTGTGGTGAGGCAGAACATGTAAACAATGCAAGTAAGCGGAGGCCGACGGAAGTCAAAGCTCCAGAAACTGCAATGAAGAATTACAAAACAGGGTAAAGCAGCCAGGGATAACAATACCCATTCCAAAGCTTGCATAAAATAATTAAAATTCAGAATTTGGAGGTGTCCCTTGGCATGGTAATCCAGACACCAAAAAACTAAAGAAAAGTTTCAGAAAGACAAGAAAAAGCAGTGATTGGAGCTGAGATATTAACAGATTGGATAAAATGTACAAAAGGATGAAATGGTCAATGTTCAGAACACTAGCAGAACGAGAGTTAACAACAAGAGAAATGTGATAGTAGGCTAAGATTACTGAAGAAAAGAACATTTTATCCTGATACCTTCCCTATGCAGGAGCAAAGGCCTCTATGGAGCAGGCCAGAGACCAGAGCTGACAGCCAGTAGTTACTCCTAATGGCAGTAGAGATATAAAGGATGGTAGGCAAAGGTCTCGCACAGTAAGTATGACTCTCAGATGTTCTTATTTCTTTATAAGATGCATACATCAAATTAATGCAGCAGTCTACATAACATAGAGACATCTATTTTCTGAGTCCAGATATCCAGAAAAAGTCTTATGAGGAAAAAAAAAGCCTCACTACTCTATGATCAAGGGCCGTGAATTTGTTGACATTCAGTAGCCAATACCTGATTTGATTTTAAATAGATTTTACATGCCCTGAGCTATACATTTTAACTATTTTTATACACCAAACAGTAATGCTTTTTTAATGCCACTGCTAAGCTTGAGTTTGAATTTCAAACATCTTTGATTTATAATTCCTATATACTGGGAACTATATTTATTTCAATCTCAATTGAAAATAATTAAAAATCCTTAAAAATTTTTGAAACTCTTTAAATTATAGAATACCAACCCAAATAGAAAGTTTTTTAAGTTAAGTTTGGGAAAAGTGAAATTTGTATCATCTAAAATGGGTCAAATATTTTTTTTTCCTCCTACTGCAACAGCATGTTCTAGTATAAAGGGCAAACGGCATGTGTGTCATTAAAAAAAAAGAGAGAGAGAAAAAAATCAAGTAAATCTATTTCATCTCTTACCCACCTACCCTTAGCCTCACACCAACCCCTGTACTGTATATATAATGAGAATCTTTGCCTCAATTGAGAATGACTGACCCATAAGCTAGATAAGTAAATTCAACCTGCAAAAAAAACTTGAAAATTAAGTCACATAATACTGAAACATTGGTTATTGGACAGCACACCTTTCATAAAGGAAGCCGAAGCCATCTTATTCATTATCCTTCGTGTTACGTTACTGACTGGTGTATATGCCACTACCAGGTGAGAGTCATTAAACTGATCCACACTTCCCAGGACTTTAGGAGGTTGTTCAGGAAAACGGGTAGCTCTGAAGTATTCCGAAAAGATGCACAAATATAGCCCTAGAAACAATGTTATTGTCCATTCCTCCAGCACACAAAAGAGAAATGAGCCATGTTATAACATGGTCCAGACCAGTGAGAAACATCCAAACACATTTTTAAGGCAAAATGTATTGTCATTGAGCATAGCTTCATTTCAGTCTGTAATTTTTTTCTGTCCCAATTAATATCTATCCTTTAAAAAAAACAACACTTTTTCAAAAATACACAACTTTTGAGATAATATCAACAATTGTAATCAATCTTAACCCAGTGATTTAGCATTCCTATTAGTGGGACTGCCACTGATTTTATGTCCTCATATTTGAAGCAACGTAAGTATATGGCAGCACATAGAACACATTCTTGCCAAAAATATTTAACCAGAATTGGATCCTGCTTTTAGAGCCAACTCACTGCTTACAAAAAATATAGATGATAAAGGGATGACTTAAATGACAACATGGACAGGCAATCAGATAAAAAGACAACATGTAATATTCAACAGGAAAACTAGTTTTGTCTCATTGGTTCCTGAACAAATCAACCTTAAAAGACATTTTGGGGGAAATCTGGAAAATTGAATTTGGCCATGGAACCAGATGATATGGAATTATTTTTAATTTTGTGTAGTGGGATAGTGGTGATGTAGGGAACCAGGTTCTTAATTTTTGGAGACACTAGCTAAAATATTTAGCCATTACATAGATTTTGGGGAAGAAGAGGAGACAGAGAGATGAAGCAAAGCTGGCAAGATGCTAACAGCTGTCAAATCTGGATGGTGGATGTATAGGTGTTTATTGTACCAATATTTCCACATTTCTGGATTCATATTTTTTTAATTCTAGTGAGTGATAAATATAGATATATCCTTCTTCAGTATATGAACCAAATTTTTGATTGAACTGCTTCAGAAGCTATTGCAGAGATTTAAAAGGACGATATGAATCCTGTTAGTTCACACTGAAATGGTATTGACTATTTCTGAACAGACTGCAATCTCTACATGGTCAAGGCAGATCCAGTTATGTCTCATATTCATGTCAGCATACAATGTCTTAATATTCATGTCAGCATACAAGAAACTCAACAGAATGCAAAGGTATTGACAATCTGTGATCTTGTTCCATGAAACCACTCCATGTTGACAAAAAGCATGGCTTTGAAGAGATTCCAAAAATAGTTTGCAAATTTTTACTCAAAGGTATTTTCCCAGTCTTACCAAATAACATGACATTAATCGAAATGTTCCCAAATAGTATCAGGGTTTGCCCATTTAAAAATCTATTTTATTTTGCCTAGCTTATCTTTCCCCTGGCTGTCCCTGCCCCCAACACAGAAGTTAGCTAAAGGGGTAAATCAGAATGACTCTGAGATTTGAATGCATTAATTATGTGGAAAACGGCTGGTTCTATTCTGCAACAGATTATTTTTCAGGAGCTGTCAGATGAGCTCTTTAGTTAATTTCACCTTTGACACAAATAGTATCCTATTTTGCAAAATATATCATTTTGCAGTATTTAGAATCTCAACTAGCCAGTATGATAATTAAAAATCAGAATTTATAAACAAGAAAAGTAATAAAAATGACATAATACTATATGATGGATTTTCATTTATTAACCACGAAAAAATATATATATAGTGAATCATACCAGTAAAGTCTCTCTTTTTATTCTCCATTTTTTAAGAAAATTCTTGTACAGAAGAGCCTGAATTTGTTGACATACACTTATCTCTTTTTTAACCATTTTGTCCTGTTCATTAACAGGGTAAAGTAAATATTGTAGAGCAATAACTAGGGGAAAAAAGAAAAAAAAAAGTTCAGTTACAGAAAGCCTTTGAACATTTTGAAAGCATAATTTTCAGATGCACCAACTAAATGCTTTATATGACATTGTAGTAACATATTCAATCAGGATTTTAAAAAAGAATATAAAGTATTAGTGATTGTAAAATGTCTTCTCAGTTGCTATTTCTCTCCAGGCTTTTATGGCTATGAGGGAGATAAAGCCGATAGTATATAAGTATAAGTCTTTTCTCCTTTTGTCTCAGGAGTCACTTTTTTTCTGTGAAATCTTAACATTACATCCACCTAAAGTAAATCCCTCAATAAGATCTTAGCAATGTTTAGAGTCCAAAAACCACTTTCTCTTTACTTGTTAAGAAAAAGAAGTTTAACAGGAAGAAATCACTTTCTGTTCCTTGTCAGTCAGCAATTTGACCACAAGCAGTCTTATTTTGAATTGCATATTTGGCACATTTATTTGATATCTTGTTAACCACTGGGCAAAGCAAAGTCAAAAACACTATGGTCATTCTTAGAATCCCAAAAAGCTAATTCATTAAATCTCCATTTATGAAGTAAATATGTAAGATACATACAGATTAAAATCAAAAACATCAGCTAATATGACTAGAGTAATTGATTTGTAATAATGATTCTTATTCTTTGTTTTCAGTTTGAAAATCCAGAACTGATCATTTAGTATCACAACTATGACTACTGAAGTCCATTTGAATAAATGTTGATGTTATATACAAATTATAATGTTCAGAGAGAACTTGCTATATTTCCCTTTTTTCATAAAATAAAATGCAAAGCCAGCAAAACCCAATATAATCTCTACATTCTAACTTAAGAAAGTAGAAACATTAAGACACCAATCTTCACTTTATGGATGCAGAGGTCTACTTAAATAGCTCCATAAGCAAACCACAAAAACATTTTAAAAGAACAAAAGAACACAGAAAAAAGGAACTTGCTGTAATGCTCACACATTCTAAAGAAGTAAAACCTTACAAATTCTCCAAAGGATATTCAGAGCAGTGTCAGAGAGAGAATTTATTGTCTGATAATATTTATATACACCTCTGAATCCATCCATCTTTCATTTATCACACTAAAATGTTATAAAAGTTTTTAAAATAAAATAATTCACTAGTACTATAACATAAAGCATAAAATAATTTAGAACATCTGAATAATATAATTTTAAAAATTTCAATCAATATGTTTGGCATTGGCTATATACTTTATATCTTAATAATCTTATGCGAAGTGAAAATGTAAAACAAATTTTAACTTACAGTTAAGAAAATAAGAGAGAAGTATTTAGAAGCACTTGGATCCACTCGTCTCTTTTTGTCCAAGAAAACAATGAAGAATCCTTCAAGGACTCCTCTACAAATGGTTGTCTCTTTTAAAACTGTTTTTATTCAGTTTGGCTTCTGAAAAGCCATGGTCTGTGTGTAGAACATGCCAACAAATTCTGTTGGTTTTTTTCCTATGTTTTTCTTCTTGTCCAGTTACTCTTCAGAGACCTGAATGAATTGTTGGCTGAGTGTGTCATGTGGTATTTGTTTATTGCTCTATCTTTCTGGCATACACACAAAAAAAAGAGATCAAATTCAAAAAGAAAAACCCACATATTTACAATTGCATAGATAACTACATATTTACAATTGCATGACTTTTAATAATTAAAAATTTGATAGCCAAGCTAAAAAAGGAGCAAATTAAAGAGAAAGTTGAACACAGAGAGAGAAAATGAGGATTACTCATCTTAGAAATCTGAATCATTCCAATGAGACAGTTTTATCTGAAAGTTAACTACATTTCAGTTAAATGGTTCCTTGTATTCACTAATTCCTATGTACTAGAAAGTGTTCTAAGGGTTTAAATGAATTCTCCCATTTGATACTTAAAGCAAACCTACAAAGTTGGTACTCTATTTATATTTGTTAAGCAAATTTGAAAGGTGGGGTTAACAGGTGAAGTTATTTGCAGATGTTTAAATAAGTGTGAAGCCAACAGATGAGTCCAGAATAGTGTTTGGACTCCAAGATCCCTTACTCTCAACTACCACTATGAAAATGGTACTAATCAAGACAATGATATCTAATACCCATTTTAAAGGTGTAGTGGTATAGACTAGACGGGCATAACTTTAATGATTTTGTTACTTTTTTTTCAGCTACAACTAAATTGGATATGCTCAGAATGGCAAATAACCCCTCTTTATCAACGCTGAAAATCTTATTATGTGATTTTAACTATAATAACACATTTCTTGGTATGGATACAGAAGCTAATGACCATTCATGAACATGACAAAGACAGAAAGGGTAAAGGACTCAGAGACTCTTCAAATTTTCATTAGGAATACAGAAATAAATGGTTCCTTTAATTGTAAATGTCACTAACAACAAAGGAAGTATACTTTAATTGCTTTCCTTTGTTGTTAGTGACATTTCTCTTCCTATTCAGGCAAAATCATTACTAGAAGTAAAAGTTCATGAAATAGACAACATGAAACTTAACCTGGTTCCAATCCCAGACATTAATGGTAATATTCAGTTAAATGGGTGGGAAAAACAACTAAAATCATACTATGATACAGATATATACCCTTTCTAATCACCAAATTTTTAAAATATTTTTTATTTCCATAATTGCTGTGATTTGAATGTCTCCTCTAAAATTCATGTTAAAATTTTATTACCAATGAAACAGTATTGAGAAGTGTAGCCTTTAGAAGTGGTGATTAGGTCATGGGGGCTCCACCTTCATGAAGAGATTAATACATTATCTTGGGAATGGATTCCTGATAAAAAGGATGAGTTAGGCCCAATTCTCTCTCTCTCATTCACCTTTCACCTTTCTACCGTGGGATGATCCTCACCAGAGACCAGTGCCATGCTCTTGGACTTCTCAGCTTCCAAAATTGTGAGAAATAAGTTTCTTTTCTTTATAAATTACCCAGTCTGCTAGGTACAACTAAATCTGCGGTGTTCTATTGTAGCAATAAAAAACATGCTAAGACAATAATTTTAGGGATTTCAATCTCCAATATGGTACAGTCAGGAGTCTGAGACCTGCATTGCAGACCTGTCACTCATTGTCTGTGTCCCTTGGAGAGGTCATATAAAATCCTCAGGTCTCTGTTACACATTTATAATAAGATTTGGATCCTTTTCATTCTAAGCCTTTGTATATTTATAATTATACAGTTCTGCTACAGAGTCAGAATGCTGAAATACTCCAGATTTAGGCTTATGCACATCCACATTATATAATACCAACTAGCGCCTCCTCATCAAACTCTTCCCTCTTGAGTCCTTGACCCCTGAAAGCATGATAGCTTTCAGCAGGTAAATGTACTAATTAATGAACAATCAGAGGCAATTTAGCAGAAGTTGTCCTCCACATATCTCTACTTCATTCTAATTTCCCAGAGGAAACTGAGCCAATTTTTCTCTAAACTCAACACCGCTGCATAATCCTTCAATCAAATTCTATTACCTAATCTAAAAATCTGGCTCTCTTGGTTATCTCTTTTTATTTTATTGTTAACTTCGATTATAATCTCTCCTCTCCTTCAGCAGATTATAGCAGGGACTGTTCTAATCTCGTCTCTCCTTCCATCTTTCTTTAGATATGTCTGGCAATTACATATGAGAAAATATTGTCACTGCCAGCTTTCTTAAGCTACCGTATCTTATAAAGTATCTTATACATTAGCTCATCTTCTCACAATTATTGCCAAAATTTCCATTGTATTAATATCCTAGGGCTGCCATAACAAAGTACCACAAACTGGGTACCTTAGAAATTGATTCGCTCAAAGTGTTAAAGTCTAGAAGTCCAAAAATCATTGTCCTATCTGAAAAGCCATGCTCTCTCTCCCAGCTTCTGGTGATTGCCAGCAACCCTTGTCATTCCCTGACTTGCAGATAAATAACTCTAATTCTGTGTTGTCATTACATGGCATTCTCTCTTCTGTGTGCCTGTGTCTTCAAATGGCATTCTCCTGTGCATTTGTCTCTTTCATTCTACCAATTTTGAGTTAGTTTGCTCCTGTTATTCTAGTTTCTCGAGTTGCCATTTTAGGTTATTTGAGATCTTTCTACTTTTTTGATGTAGGCAAATATTGCTATAAACTTCCCTCTTAAAACTGCTTTTGCTATATCCCATTGGTTCTAGTATATTGTGTTCCCCCTTTTTGACTCAAGAATTTTCTTAAAAATTTCCTTTTTAATTGCTCCATTGATCCATTAGTGGCTCACAAGGATGTTGTTTAACGTCCATGTATTTGTACCATTTCCAAAGTTCTTCCTGTTACTGATTTCTAGTTTTATTCCATTGTGGTCAGAAAAGCTACTTGATAAAATTTTGATTCTTTTAAACTTGTTGAGACTTGTTCTGTGGCCTAACATATGACCTTTCCTGGAGAATATTCCATGTGCTGTTGAGAAGGATGTATATTCTGCTGCTGTTGGACAGAATGTTTTGTAAATGTCTGTTATGTCCATCTGGTCTAATGTGTGGTTTAATTATAATGTTTCCTTGTGGATTTTATGTCTGGATGATCTGTCTATTCCAGTTCCTTACAATTATTTATTGCAGTATATTTGTCCTTTTAGATCTATTGATATTTGCTTTATATATTTCAGTACTCTTGTGTTGGGTACATATGTATATATAATTATTATATCCCGTTGCTGTACTGGCCTCTTTATCATTATATAATGGCTTTATCTCATTTTACAGTTTTGGTTATTTTATCAGATGTAAGTATAGTTACTCCTACTCCTTTTTTATTTCCATGTGCATAAAATATCTTTTTCCATCTCTTCACTTTCAATATGTGTGTGTCTTTACAAGTGTAGTGAGTCTTTTGTGGGCAGCAGATAGTTGGGTTTTGTTTTTTATTCAATCAGCCACTACTTTATGTCTTTTGATTGAAGAATTTATTTCATTTACATTCAAGTTAATTATTGACAGATAAGGGCTTACTGCTGCCATTTTGATACCTGCTTTCTAGTTGTTTTGTGGACGCTTTCTTCTCTTACAATCTTTCTTTGTGTGTAAATGATTTTCTCTAGTAGTATTTTGATTCCTTGCCTTTTATTTTTAATATATCTATTATAGGTTTTTGCTCTGTGGTTACCATAAGGCTGACAAAAAACATCTGATAGTTATGACATGTTATTATAAAATAACTTCTTAATTTTGATAGTAAAGACATAACAAAAAACTGTACACTTAATTCCATTCTCCTCCCATATTTTGAATTTTTGATGTCACAATTTTTATATTTTACATTTTATATTGCCTATTTCTTAACAAATAATTTCACTTATTTTTAATAGTTTTGTCTTTTATTCTTCATACTAAGGATATAAGTGGTTTATGCTCCACAATTACAGTATTAGAATAACAATCATGTTAGCATTCTTGTCTTTAGATTAGAACTCCCTTCAGCATTTCTTACGGGACAGGTCTGATAGTAATGAATTCCCCTCAGCTTTTGTGTGTCTAGTAAAGCCTTTATCTCTCCTTCATTGCTGAAGGACAGCTTTGCTGGATACAGTATTCTTGGTTGGCAGTTTTATTTTCCTTCAGTACTCTGAATACATCATGCCCCACTCCATCCTGGCCTGTAAGGTTTCTGCTGGCAAAGTCTGTTGTCAGGTGTATTGGAGTTTCCTTATATGCTATTTGCTTCTTTTATTTCTCTATTTTCAGGGTGCTCTATTTGTCTTTGACCTTCCAAAGTTTGATTATAATATATTTTGGGGTATTTTTATTTGGGTTGAATCTGATTGATGAGCTTTCATCTCCAAGTTCCTGTATATTTATATCTTTCTCCAGGTTTGGAAAGTTCTGTTATCATTTCTTTGAATAAACTTCACACTGCTTTGTCTTTCTCAACTCTCTCTTTAACTCCAACAACCGGAATATTTTCTCTTTTAATGTTGCCCCATCAATTCCATAAGCCTTTGTCACTGTCTTTTCATTCTTTTTTTTCCTCCTCTGATTATTTCCAAATAGCCTGTCTTTGAGTTCACTAATGTTTTTATTCTATTTGATCAGTTCTGCTCTTGATGGTCTCTATTTCATTTTTCATTATGTTCCCTGTATTTTTCAGCTCCAGCATGTTTGTGTTTTTTTTAATTATTATTTCAATCTTCATTACATTATCTGACAAATTTCTGAATTGTTTTTCTGCATATTCTTGAAGTTCATTGATCTTCCTTAAAACAGCTATGTTACATTTTTTGTCTGAAAGATCACAATCTCCATCACTTTAGGGTCAGTCCCTGGTGCCTCATTTTGTCCACTTGGTAAGGTCATATTTTCCTAAATGTTCCTGATGCTTGTGGATGTGTGACAATGTCTGCACATTGAAGGATTAGGCGTTTATTCTGGTTTCCCCAATCTGGCTTTGTTTATGTCCATTCTTCTTCAGGAGATCTTCCACAGACTCTACGGAGACTGCCTGTTGTCTTTCCTGAGCCCAAGACCAGTATAGCTGTCTCAGTATTAGAGCATTAACGGGCATGCTAAGCCCAGGTTTGCTGTGAGTATTGTGAGAGCTCTGAGATTTATGCAGCTTTCTAGCCCAGATAGACCTGAGGAAGACCCAAGGAGGGTACCTAGGTTGTATGAAAAATCTGGCCAGAAACCTAAACCGAGAAGACTGTTCTGGTAGCTAAGATAGATGCCCATCTCCTACAGTCCCTGGACAGGTGAGGTAGTTCCTTGATTGCAGCAGGAGAGGCCAGGGCTGAGACTGGGGACCCTGGGATCTCCTGTAGAATGGCAGCTGGCAAGCCTATCTTATTGGCTCAGATGAGTGTGCATCTCCCAGCAGGTCTCTGCACAGATGGGCTAGTTCCCTGACGGCAGAGGGATCAGAACTGAGGCTGGTTTCCCTCAGGATCTATTATGGGACAGAGGCTGGAGAGCACGACATGGAAGTTCAGGCTCCCAGGATGCAAGATATGGGTGAGTCTCACTCTAGGTCCTTGTGTGAGCAGTTCTGAGCTGGGACTTCAGCAGAGATGGGCTGAAGTCAAGTCACAGGGCAACTTTCAGATTCATTGTCTGCAGTCAGAGGAGGCTCTCTGTTGAGGCACTAGTGTACATGATTCTTTCTGGACTCCCTGGCAGATGGTTTTGGTTGCAGGCTCAAGACCAAATGGGTTTTTAGCCAAGCTCCTTGGGGAATGGAGCCATTTCCAGGCTTCAATCCAGAAGCAAAATCAGCAGATCAGCCACTAGGGTGCTAGTCTGCACTCTCAAAACAACCTCTAGGTTGTGGGATCCACTGGGGTTTCACAATCTTATACCTGAATCATGAGGCTCCTGCACAGAGACTTTGGTCTGTGGTGTTGCAGAATTACTGTTGTTATGCAGGGTGGAGGGGTAATGAGTGGGTTACCTTCTATTACACCATCTTGCTGGCATCATTCTCCCCAGTTAATTTTGATGCTGCTCGTCAATGAAACAATAGTCTACAAAATGTGCATAGAGCAATGAAACAATGGCTTTCACAGAGTAAACCTTCAATTAATGTTAATTACCATTTTTAACGCTTAGTTCTTATACATCAAGTCTCTTTTAACAGTTGGAATTCTTTTACTTCTTAAATATCCCAATTAAAATGCCACTTGTTTTTTGCTCATCTTGATGCTTTCTCCCAGTGGGAATTACCAATGAAATTCTTAAGTAATGATTTAAGGAAAAAAAAATTACCTAATTTTTCTGAAGGATGTGACTATCACTGGTTTTACTTTTTGAAGCAAAAGAAGTGAGAAGTAAAAAATTAGATTTGAGACTATGGTTATACCTTTATTTAAAAAGATGATACTCAAACACCACCATTTCTGGAGGTTTCCTTTAACCATCTCTGCCCATCTCCCTCCAAGTTATCCCAGTTAGAATAAAATTTACTTTCAATATTCGAGATAACAAAATTCTGTGCCATTTGGAGAATGCCTGAAACGTTTCCTATTTTGTGGCTCCTCAAAAAGACCAAAGGAGGGATTTATAACTGATGGTTACAATCTAACTTCAGGTTCTTGTCCTGTCCTTTCTAAGGACCATTCCTGTCCTTTTCAACCTCTAGCCGTTCTGCCTTCTTTAAGTTTGGTGAATGGCTAGGACTATCTTCTGGCTCACCCCTCTTACTCTTTGTTCTGACCTCTTGAACTCTGTTACTGCCTCACCAGTTCTCAAATGAACTAGCACTTGGGTGACTGGCTCAGAAGAGTTCAGTTCTGGCTTCTTAGTTCATTCAGCTCTGGCTTCTTAGACTGCCTTGCTGTCACTGCCACTGCTAAGCAGCCTTACCCCACCCCTTTCTGGGACCAGAAACGTATCCCTTTGGCACAAGCCTCTGCTGCCATCTGGTGGTCACAGTTTCACTCTTTTTCTGCCCCATTTCTACTAGACATACTAACTAGGCACCCACCCACACCTTGCATTGTGCTGCTTCCACCTGGCAGGATTAGAAACTGTGTATCTCATGGTTACTGAGATTTAAACAAACAAACAAAAAACATTTAATTTTAAAGTGAGAGATACAATATTTTTAAATAATCTTGACATTGTCACATTTCAGTGTAAAATTCACTGTCCCCCAGCAGAGTTACAACTCTGAATTTAAATTGTACATTATAAATTCTTTTGAGCTTTAACTAGGCAAAAGAAAACTTTCAGTGGCTTTCTATATAATTCGGTTCTCAACTTCTGTCTCAGTTGTCTGCTGTATAGGTTTTACATCCTCAGCTGCATGAAAATAACCATGAGGACAAAGATAAGATCCTGGGTTTGCATCTTACAATAACTAGATAGATAGATAGATAGATAGATAGATAGATAGATAGATAGAGATAGTAATAACTATATATAGTTATATATAATAGTAATACATAGTACTAACTATATATAAAGTTATTGTAATAACTATATATATAATTATAACTTACAATAACTATATTCCCCATGGCCACAAGTCAAATAGTAATAGGATTTCTTGAAAATATTATTTCTTTGAACTTCAAAATGTAAGCAAAGCTATTCAAACTTGTGGATCTGTCACACTGTCTTCATAAACAGTTTATTTTTATCCAGGGCACCTACTTCTAATATTTATAATGCAGGCTTGTAAACAGTGATCCCCCCTGCCCAAAGTGAGTAGTCCCAAATTGGGAACCCCATTGAGAAATGGCTTAAGAATAGCAAATGAATAACTTCACATGTAAGAAGATAGTTCAAAAAATATTCAAAGACAACCTAAGATTAACTCAAAACAGAACTTAAAGAAGACATGCATTCAAATATGCACAAAGACCTTGAGAATAAGTCTGCAGATAAAGCCTATAAAACTCTGATAGTATTTATTACAAGATTAGAATTGA